TATATACCCCCAGCTATAGAGGGGGGAAACAGTTCTATTACTCAAGGGACTGATTGTAAGTCACGGGACTACTGCGATGCTTTTAGAAAACTTATGGTATATTGAACGTAGCAATGTAATACGCAGACCAATGATGTCAGTCTGTTATTGAATGACTGAGCAGAGGAGATTGTGGGTGTGGCGGAATTGCAGCCAGTGACCAGCCAGGCAAAAAAACATTTCTGTTTCAGTGGTGGGGGTTGGGCGTTCAACCGTGTTGTTGATCATCAGTCCGATTTTATGAACTTTTAACACTGTTTTGTTATGTTTTTTTTTTTTAAATAGTTGACTTTGAAATACAATACGGTACAAATCAGAAGTCTTCCATTACAATTAAATACCGCAAATCAACATTTCACGTTAATACGCAATCTCCCGCATTGAAAATTTGATTAATAATGTTTAATAAGTTTGTTTTTACTTTATTTGTTCGTGGTTGTTTTTAAATTTTATTTATTTATGTTTGTGATTGGCAGGAAGCCCCGTTGGTCTGATATCTCATTTTCGCCTGGAAAGTCTCCGCCCTACTGCTAGTCTGAGGCCGTCGGCTTCCTCTGAAGTGCTTGGCTGTCCATAAGCTGCTAAATGTTTCTTTTATTCCTTTATATTTACTACAGACAAACAGGAAAATAGATATTATCCGAGGACAGAAGTATCACTGTGGAGTTGGAAAGGTCGCGGGATACCCTTCTGTCGGATCTGCGTCGGCACTGTGGCACATTTGTTCAGTACTTTAGCTCCAGAAGCTAGCGGTTGACGAGACTGGAAGCATCGGCACGAGTAAGACGAGCCTCTCCTTCGCCCCAAACACATCCCGTAACCCAGCTGTGCGCGAGCTGACCGTTCCGTTCTCCGTTTGCGTTTTTAGATGGCTGAAGTGTGTTTATAAGCTTTTAGAAGTGTTGCTTTTGCAGAGTGAAACTGCAGCGCGTGCGGCCGCGCGGTGGGGGATGGGCGCCCTGGTTCCTCGCGCCGCGCACGTTGACAACAACTAACGTTAGCTTTTATTCTACCAACTAGTTAGCAGCGTTGCTATGGAAGCAGCCACGCGCTGGAACTAGAATCGCTCATTTTTTGCATTTCTTTGGGGAGTTTGTTGTTTCCGGTGACGTTTATCCACGATGCGCACTTAGCCGTAAGCTAATAATCGAATGACAAGCAATGGCGCTTCCGGCAGGGTCTTAGCGTGACAGTTGTTGCGATCAGATAAAAAAATATATATTAGTATTCAGTTTTTTTTTAATTGTGCTCTTAATTATGTTTTATTAACTACATATATGAATGTGTTTTATTACGTAATTTAACTTAATGACGTGTTATAACTCTACGGGTGTCTTTTGACTTGAAGAATCAACCTGTTGACTGGCGTTTGTTTAACAGTGATGATGTATATGATTATATCAGCTGTATAATTAGGATTTTGCTCTGTGATGTATAAAATTGGCCTTGTTTAATATCGTCTGAAGGACAAGGACATGTAGCTATTTGATACAAATACATCAAATTTGATTAAAATAAGTGAACTAATTAATACGTTTATTGGTCGAGTACTAATGAGTAGTAAAGCAGTGTAATAATGTAACCTAATAGAAGCGAAATATTTTCCTAAATATTACTTTTTCATAGCATAAATAGGGTCTTAATACAAGGAACTGTATTTCTGCATGATTTGCAACATTTCTGCACGAGGGTCCCTCACATGAGGGGGATCATATTTTGGGGTCCATGATGGCATTTAAAAATGAAAAACCCCTGTACTAAATGACTGAGAATCACATGCTGACAGACTTTCAAGTTGTTCTGAACATACAGACTCATGACAAATACGTTTCTTATGTTGAACACACAAGAAGATATTTTGAAGAATTTTGTTGGTCCCCATTGACTTCCATTGTAGTGAAAGGAATACCATCGAGGTCAATAGGGACCATCAACAGTTTGATTACCAGCATTCTTCAAAATATCTTCATTTGTGTTCAACATAAGAAAAAACTTCTGACACATGAGGGTGAGCAGAATTTTCGTTTTAGGATGAACCCTTTAATGAAAGAAGTCTGAAAAGTGTTTTAATCCTTTAGCTTGCATATTTTTATCCTGCATAGTGTAAAATATATATGAAAACATACATGGATGAAACTGAAAGAAACATTACAAACAAATTTTACTTGATTGTAGTATAGTGGAAGTTGTTATATTATCTAGGTGATTTAATTGGCCATTATTTGGCTATTTTGAGATAGTTATTGTGATTGGGGTAAATACTGTGCCCATGTGGCAAAGGTCATCGTTTCACTGCGTGTCAATTCCAGAATCTTCCAACAGCCTGACTAGTGGATAATGCCTTTTCAAATATTTCTGATGGATTTTGAGTAAATATTTTGCACATCTTTTATGTTTTATTATATATCAGGCATTGGTCAGCCATTTAAAGCCCGTATCGGTCAACCACTAGTGCAGTGCAAGTATCATTCTAGTAGTTTCAGAGGCTTGTTTTAGGTTGATCTCACTATCTCAGCATTGGCTGCCAGTTCAGCGGTTTGATTGCTGTGTGATCAGACCAAGTACAGTCAGACCCAGAGCCGCAGTACAGCTAAAGCGAAATAGGTCACAACCTGCCAGTATATCAGATACGTTCTAGAGACCACACCTGTGTCTGTGTGAATGTAACACTTATGTAATCTTCTTTATGTAATTTTATGATTATTACATTATAGGGGTGCTCCGATCAGGATTTTTGAGGCCGATCGCCGATCACAGAAAGCAGTATCTGCCGATACCGATACTGATCTTTTTAAAGCCTTCTTTTTATCATTTATAACTATATAGTGATACTCCAATCAATATTTTTAGACATTTATTCAGGGCCTGAATTTCATTTTTGAAACTGGGGGGAATTTCCCTCTTATAGGTGACTCTTGTGTAGGGATGGGTACCGAAACCCGGTATTTAATCGGTCCCGGGGCTAAATTATGAAAGACCGGAGTATCGATAAGCTCTGACGTTAACGGTTCTGCTATCGGTACTGGAGAAATTAATAAAACACATACATTTATTATTGCTATATATACATTATCTTGCAAATTCTATCTCACCAGAGTCGCCAGCTGTTTTTCAAACATTTGTCTATGATGCATTTTTGCTATTCGCAATTCAGAAGCGAGATCGCACTCACGCGGAGGAGCTTCAGCACGCGCAACATGAAAGCCCTGTTTAATTATGATAGAAGAGAGAACTAAACATTCAAACGTCTGCTTACACTTTAGGCCTGTGGCTGTTTTATTAAGCTAATTTTATTTTTTTATTTCAATTTTGGCTTCTAAGGATTATACAAAAGAAGACATGAGGTAAAGCTATTAAAAACTAGCTGCGTTTCGTATTGCACAACTTCTTTTCCTTCACAGCAGTGCACATTCGTTCCTCCCTAAAACCCAAACTTAACGTCAGAATCAGCTCAATCGGTGATTGTTGTAAGATGCCGTCTTTACTGTTGCTAAATTGCGGGACATGTTTGATAATAAAATGTTGAAAGCACAATCCGCACTAGAGACGTTGTTCCTCAGGCTGAAATGTGTGCGCACGGCGCGCTCCAAAACGGACAAACAAATTACACTTTGAGCTTCGGGCGCATGTCCAATCGATCAAATACACACAAAAATATGTAAAAATGGCCGGCTTGGAGAGTATTTACTTAAACACAGTTTATGTCTTAAGTGGAGGAGAACAGTTGGCAGACAATCCGATGTGTGTCAATATATTGTCTTAAAGTGAGAGACTGGCGCTTGGGCCATCAAAATGCAAATCTGCTCTTAATCTGAATAACATTATAGTGATACTCCAATCAATATTTTTAGACATTTATTCAGGGCCTGAATTTCATTTTTGAAACTGGGGGGAATTTCCCTCTTATAGGTGACTCTTGTGTAGGGATGGGTACCGAAACCCGGTATTTAATCGGTCCCGGGGCTAAATTATGAAAGACCGGAGTATCGATTGAAGTGTTTGGGATGTGGCTTTTAATGATGACACCTTTTTTGTAATCAGGCTCTGAAAAAGTATATAAACATTTGGATATATATTTATCGGCCAACATATCGGTTATCGGCTTTCAAAAATAAAGAATTATCGGTTATCGGTATCGGCCAAAATGTTCATATCGGGGCATCCCTAGTGTCAATATATTGTCTTAAAGTGACAGACTGGCGCTTGGGCCATCAAAATGCAAATCTGCTCTTAATCTGAATAACGTTATAGCTTTAATAATCATTAATCTATCAATACATACACTGAAAACTATGCAGTGTTCATTTACATTTGATTACTTTTAGATTTCTTTTGTAGGCTATTACTTACCTGAACAGAAATGTTAGTAGAACTTCATGGAAACATGACAGCACTGTTTATTTCATTTGTATATTTGTTTTTATTGTATTTGTCAGTTTTTTTTACTTTGTTTCTTTGTTCATGTTCTTACTGTATCTTTACTTATGTATAAAATTTACAAGTTGATGTTTTATATTCATTTTACATTTCGGAATATAAAGCAATGTTAATTCAGCTCTTAATTTGTCATATATATGTAATACCGTTAAAACCTTAACGATTTCCCATCCCTACTCTTGTGAGAGGGGAAGCAGCACGGACTGTGCTTTTACACAGGAGTCCGCTACTGAATCATGGCTGGTTACCACAAACACAACATTTATCCATTATTTTGATTTCAAATCCAAACAT